GGTCCTCCCGCTCTGTCTTACCTTTAAATGTTGTAGTGCCCGGTTATGGCTCAATCCTGGGACCTCTCTTCTTTTTCATTCAGTCACTCCCTCATTCCAGTTTTGGGACTTTTAAGTATCAGATACTCCCTGATGACCACAACATGTGTACCTGTAGCCCACATCTCTAGTTACATGTCAAACAGGCATCGCAAACTGAACATGTCCAAACTTTTGGTTCTCTTATCAGACTGATTTCCCATCTCACTAGATGGCAACACCATCTGATTTTGAACAACCATCCAAGGAAACAGAAAATCCTGTGGTCTCTGACTTCAATGAACCTACAGAATCCAGCCCTTCTTTACTGCCTCTATTCTGACCTCTCATCTGAGCCATTGGCACAGCTCTGTGAGTAGTGGCTCTATCTGTTTTCCTGGTTGGTGTATCCCTAGTAGGTCTTAGTAAATATTTTGTTAATTAAATTATTGAATGCCCTAGAGTTTGCTGGGCTTATAAGACTCAAAAAATATATGTACCTCAATAAATAAATGATTTCACAACTATAAAAATAATAACAACCAACAGTTTTTGAATACTCACAGTGTGCCAGGCCCCTTACATATGACAGGAGATGAATGAGAATCATAGAAGTAGGAAATTGTCCAAGGTCAACATCTAATGATTGGTGGAGTAGATATTTGAATCATAGTCATTTATTCAAGTTATCAAGTATTTGTTGAGCACAAGCTATGTGCCATATATTGTTTGGGGAAGAAACAAAACAGACAAATTTCTCACTCTAATAGAGATTATGTTGTAATAAGAAAAAAAATGCAAGAAATGAAACATACATTAAGACAGCCACTACAAGAAAGTAAGTTAAAGAAATGATTGTGAATAAGGAAAGCTCTTGAGAAAGGATGGTCTGGAAAGATGTCTTTGGGGAAATGACATTTGAGCAGAGACCTGGATAAAGTGAGGAGATGAGCTTGGGTAAAGACCAAAGACCCCGAGATATACAATATTTGGCATATTTGGGTGACAACAAAGAAGCTAGTGTGGCTGAAGCCCAGAGAGTGAAGAGCAGAGAATTTGGACTTGAGGGCGTAGATATGGAGAGGCACCACCGCAACCTTGGAGGCCAGTGGATTTTACCCCGAGTAAAATGAGTAGCCATTAGTAGTTTTGAGCAGAGGAGAGAAATTATCTGACTTGGATTTTAATAGAATCACTCTGGCTGATGTGTGGAGAAAGGCCTGAAGAGGGGCAAGAGTGGACATAGAGGGACCTTTTTGGAGATTACTCTTGGCCAAGCTGTGGTGCCCAGTTATTTGGTCAAATACTAGTCTAGACATTGCTGTAAAGATATTATTTTAGACATGAATAACATTTTAAATCTGTAGATTTTAAGTAATTAATGTGGGCAGGCTTCATCCAATCAACTGAAGGTTTTAAGAGCAAAGACCAAGGTTTCCTAAAGAAGAATTTATCCTGAAGACTGCAACACAGAACCTCTGCCAGAGGTTCCTGCCTGCTGGCTTCTTTTGCAGTTTCAGACTCAAGACTGCAACATCAACTCTAATCTAAATTTTAGACTGCCAACCTGCCCTACAGATTTCATAGTTGCCAACAATTGAATGAGCCAATTCCTTAAAATAAATCTAGAAAGATAGATCAGATGATTGAGATAGATAGATAGATGATAGATAGATAGATAGATAGATAGATAGATAGATAGATAGATGATAGATAATAGGTGATACATAGATAGAAAGATGATAGAGTAGAACAGGATATTTATCTCTCTCCCCTATTGTTTCTCTTTCTCAGAAGAATCCTGACTAATACCAGGTTGTTGCAATAATCCATGAGAACAATAATCAATGATGATGGCTTAGACTTAATAGCAGTGGAGATGGTGAGTTATGGGTAGAATCTAGAAGTATTGTGAAGGTAGAGCTACTGGATTTGCCTATGAATTAAACTTAGCAAGTGAAAGGCAGGCATCGAGAATGATTGCCATATTTTTGGCCTGAGCAACTGGCGAAATGGTAGTGCCCTCAACTGTATGGAAGAAACTGAGAAGCTAGAAAAATGAGTTCATAGCTGACAGAAGTCAGGCTAGGGAGTGGACAGGGCACCTACTGATGGCATTAAAGTTCTAGAGACTGGATAAAATCACCAGTCTTGGTGACTGTAGACAAAGGGAAGTGTCCTGAGGCCTGAGTCCTGGAACCCCTGCAAGCATGTCAAACTCACGGCCAGTGGGCCGCATGCCTCATTTAAATAAACGAGGCATGTGGCCCGCCAGCCGAGAGTTTGACATGCTTGCTAGGGCATTCTAAAGTCTGGGGGGTCAAAAAGAGAAAGAAAAACCAACTAAAAATACTGAGAATATGGGCCAGTGAAATTGACAGAAAATATGGAGAGCTTGAGTCAGACACTGAGTGGAGAAAGTGCTTTATTCCAAGAAAGACGGAGTGGTCAGCTGTGACAATTGCTCCTGGGAAAATGATCAGTTTGGAGTAAGGGAGAGACATGGATTCAGGGGCACCATGGTGGTGGGCACTTAACAGGAAGTCCAGTGCGAAGAAAGGAGCAGCCCAAACATGTACACACAGGCCAATTGTCACTCACTCTGATTGAGGCTTCCACACAGAGACCAGTCACAATCACTTCCCACGTTCCTAAAGGAAGTGTCCTGAGAAACATCAATGTACAGCGGCTCAATGGGCACAACAGCAAGGGTTTGTGTCTGTAGTTTTGATGGATGGAGGGTCATTCATGAAGCAAAGAGGAGGATATGGATTGATATATGAATTTGAGTCACGTCAATAGATAAGTCACAGTTATTCCCAATGAAAGAGTGACACATGATGGGCCCTGGCTGGAGGGGCTGGAAGGTGAAGAAGTAACAAAGACCATGGCCACAGGAGCCTCCAAACTCTACAATTTGTTCCTTGTCCCTTGGTGTGGGGCCAATAGGGCTAAGTTTACTCTGGTGGAAAGCGCAAGGATTTGGGAATCAAGCGGCCTCATGACAAACTCAAAAGCTAGAGATGGGTAATCTTTTACAAATGAGAACATGAGATCACAGAGGTGATGCACTTGCCCAAGGTCATACAGGTGGTCACACCTGGCTCTGGACAGATGGCAGGTCATGGTGTTTCAGCTGCACAGGACTAAGATCAGAACTGTTTTCTCTGTAGGGTCAGAGATGAGGTTTGTCAGGGAGGACTCCATGGAGAAGGAAAGGCAGGAAAATCCCGCTGGCTGCATGGCCTCCACAGGCCAGGCACATGCTATTCACCAGTCACGGGCTCCGTTGGGACGAGATTTTTCAGTTTGTCCTCACAATGGCCACTATGAGGTTGCTCATGTTTCATTTACTTATTGATGAAGAAATGGAGGCTCAGAGAAGCTAAGTAATTTATCTAAGATCACACAGCAGATAAGTCATTTAAATCCAAATCTTCTTCCCTCCAAGGCCTAAGTTCTTTTTCTTTTTTCTCTTTTTGAAAATATATCTTTATTTCAGAGTGGAAAAGAAAGGGAGAGAGAGATAGAAACATCAGTGATGAGAGAGAATCATTGATCGGCTCCCTAACCCTAACCCTAACCCTTCTGCACACCCCACATTGGGACTGAGCCCACAACCCAGGCATGTGCCCTGACCAGGAATTGAACCATGACCTCCTGGTTCATAGGTCGAGGCTCAACCACTGAGCCATGCCGGCCGGGCTAAGTCTCTTTTTCTATAACACCATAAGCTGATCAGAAGCAAGAATTCCATATATAAAACTTTCTCACCCCTCTTACTCTCACAGTGACTGTCTCTCTCTCTCTCTCTCTCTCTCTATATATATATATATATATATATATATATAGAGAGAGAGAGAGAGAGAGAGAGAGAGAGAGCCACTTTAAAATGGAGCCGAGCTGCCATGCCAGAGGAACTGCCTGGCATGTCTTTTGCCTCAAATCTCGGGAATGTTAAAACAGGGCAAACTAGCTTATAAACTGGGCCTAAAGCAACATTGTGCCCCAAAGAACTATTTGCAAGGATAACAAGAAAGCAGAAATTATGAATACCAGACTGATGGCTACCAGACTGAAAATTTAAAACCTTGTTTAGAATTTACATCACTATCTTATGTTATCTGCATTAATAGAAATGCCTTCCTCCTATTGATATAATCATTCACCTTCCTTTTCTCATCCTACTCCTTGCCTTTGTCTCCTAGTCAGAACATTATTTGAGCTTCTTCCTGAATCAGTGCTTCACAAATTAATATTCTTTGATATCAAATAAATGCTTATTGCCTCTCACTTTGAAAGGACTTATGTTTAGGTTCGCATGACATTAACATGGTGCTTGGCTTTGGTGGACCTTGGGTTACTCATCTGTGAGATGGAGACAATCATTACACCCATCCTATAGAACTGAACAAGATTAATGCCCATAAAATAGCACTGTGCCTCACACACAGTGCAGGTTCAAGAAATGAGAGCTGTTGTTACTGATGACTATTTTTAGTCCACAGATGAGAAAGCATGGGAGAGTCCATTAATTTCTTCAGTCTCCAAAGAGTAAAGGCTGAAGCCTGGATTCAAAGCAAGACATAGGAAATATCAAGTTAACTCTGCTTTTCCCATTTCACCACAAGATAAGAAAGGAAATGAGTTGCAGGCAGGTGGAATGCATCTGTGAAAGCATGAGAAGAACTTAGGCCTGTGCAGTAGGGTTGGTGTGAGGGAGCATGATGAGATGCTAGGCACAGGTTGGAAAATGGGCCTTCCCTGTTATGCATGGCTGCCTACTATATACCAGGCTCAGTGCCCTGCAGAACTGAGGCCTGGCAGGAGCACCGTTTACAGCTGCCTGAGTACGCACTGGAGATAACCCCTGTGGACTTTACTATCTTGTCCCTGACTCAACCTTCAACAATGGAAGCGTAGGTTCTGCATTGCCTAGAAAACAACTTTGAGCTTAAGGGTCTTGTTGTGGCACTTATTACCTTGAGAAGAGGGCGAGCCCAAATGGGCCCCATCACTCCCTTAGCAACCTCATGATGTGACTTTTCCATGATCTCACAGCTGCAGGCTTTGAACCAGGGTCAATCTGTCTCCAAGGCCGGGCTCTTTCCTCCAGGCTGGGGGAGGCTATTGGCGTCTGAAAGACATAGGCAGGTGAGATGAGCCAATCGTGGCCTGAGGACATCCAGGCCCCCTGGGAGATGCAGGCAGAGGCAGCTTGAAGACCTGGGCCCAGACTGATCAGAAGGATGGTCTTTAAACAAAGCTGGGAAGAGGGGGTGGAAGAAATGTGGGTTTAGGGCACAAAGAGTTCTGTATCTGCCCTCCTTCCCGGGGCCAGCCGTCTGCATCTTGTGCCCAGAGAACCATGGGCTGACCTGGGTCAAAGATACCTGAGTCTCCACTCTGCCATTGACTAGTCCCATGACCTGGGGCAAGTCACTTTAACTCTGGAACCTCATCTTCCCTGTTTGTGAAATGGTCTCCCTATTATCTTACTTGCTTAGGTATCTGGAGGAGCAGAGGAAAGTGGTGTGGTCCAAGGCTCACCCAAAGAGCCCACACACAGCAGGCTCTTGACACACATGCCCTGGGCCTCCTTGCCTTCGCTCCCCTTCTAAGAATGGACTCCAGGCTTGTCACAAAGTCAGCCAGGGGTCAACTCCACCCCAGCTGCCCAGTTAATGAGTGACCAGGATGCATAGTTTATAAAAGCTGCTAACCAGAGAAGCAGGTAGCAGCTGAGTGTATGGCTATGGTGGGACACAGAGGGAGCAAGATGGGTGGCAGGACTATGTCAAGGCTTCAGTCAGAGTGGCCGTGGCCCTCCTCATGCTCCTGCATAGCACACAGTCTGAATACGTCCAGGTGAATCCTTCCAGCCAGAATGGCCTTTGACTAAAAGTTCCCATGGTGGGAGGTTAGGAAGGAGAGAGGATGCTGGGAATTCATGAGGTACAAGGGGCACAGGGCCTAGGATTCAGCCCAACACACATTCACAGCCCAGGGACTAGGACAGCTGGGGGTGTGGATGGCCGGCATACCTATGGTTATGGTGATGGTGACAATAGCAATAATAATAAACTGCTGTTATTCAGCATGACTCTCCTCAAGGCTGGCCCATCCTGGTCAGAGGTCAGTGTGTGGAACAAGATGTGAAGCCTGTCCTTGAGACACTCTGAAGGCAGAGGGGAGACCCCTATATGCTCCCACAGCTCTCCATGTTCACCCATGTATGGGTGCAAGGGTGTAAGCACCAGAAAATTTCCCTGGCAGGTAACTTGAGTTGACATTGCAGGATGAACAGGAGGCACAGAAGACACAGGCTGCTCCCAACAGACGGCCCAGCATAGGAAAAGCCCAGCGAGCAGACAGCAGGGGGCCAGGTCTCCTTCCGGGGTGCCCGTGATGCTGGAGGAATCACAGAAACAGGTCTCTCTGTGTGAGTTTGCTGCTGGCCTCTCGGAAGTCTGTGCCTCCCACTCCTAGGGGTAGAGCCTCCCTGAGAAGAATAAAGGAGGTCCTGAGAGAGCCTCCACCTCCCCTGGCAGCCTGGCCACCCAGCTCCCACGAGAAACCCAGGCCTGTCCTCTATGACCAGTTGGACTCAAACCAGGACACAGATACTAGTCAAGCTAGCCAATCAGAGCAGAGTTTCTACCCAGAAAAGAGCTAAAGCTAAGACTGATGAACTGTGACAGTGCTATCTCTGCATCAGAGTCCAAACCTTCCTAAAGCAAGCCTTGCCAATTACAACTAAGAACTAATTACAGCAGAGGGCTTCATATGACCCACCAAGCAGAGCAGAGTCCCCTAGTCTCACCAATCAGAGCAGAGCCCCACCTCTGAATCCCACTAATCAGAACACTTCTCTCCCTCAAGTGTCACCAGTCAGGGAATTCCCAATCACCCATCAGAGAGGCAGCTACTCACCCAGCCTCTGGAGGATCTTATTGCCTTGGGCTCCTTGCAAACAGGCTTGACTTCTGCAGGAAACTTAGTAGAGCCACAGAGGGCAGGAATCACAAACTGACTTCAAACTGACTTTGGCTCCCAGTGCTGTGCTCCTGGAGCTCCTGGAGGCACTTGAGCGTCTTCACTGACTCAAGAGAAAAGGAGAACCTCCCATCCTGAGAGAGACATGTCCAGAGCATGAGGCCAAGTTGCAGCCTGCTCCCTGAGTCTTTCCTCCGGAACTGGCCCCTTTCCAGCCCCAGTGGCTCAAGCAGTGTTTATGCATGTTATGAAGAACGGAGAAAATGAATGTGACATGTCAGGGACACAATAGGTGCCCAATATGTGGGAGCCATTGTACTGATTTTTAGCGAGAGGTACAGAGCTGGGACCAGGACCAGGTTCCACATGGACATGCCCAGACTCTTTTCACCCCTGCCTGACAGCCATGTGGGCTGCTCACCTGGCCCTCAGCTCCAGCCTGCAGCCTGGTTGATGTTTGAGAAGCAATAAAAGGCCTCCCGAGGCCTGGGTGTGACAGAGAGTGGGGCCACTGCTGGGTGCCAGACTGCCTGTCGCTGGCATCCAAACTGGGGGCACACCATTCCCCTAGGACCTCCAGGATGACCATGTGAGTTCTGAGACCCAGGCCAGTGCTCTGGCTGAGTACAGGACTGAGAATTGAATCTGAGGAAGGATAGTGAGAAGCTAGAATTCCTTGGCAAGTGGAATTGGGAGCTATGACAGATAGCTGAACAAACTGGTCCAGCAATTCACAGCCAGATACAGACGGTCACCAGGGGGCCCTAGCAATGGTCAAAACTGGTACCAGACCTGGCCCCCAGCATGGCCTTTCCTCCTCTGGCATATCACTGGTCATGCCTGACCTTTCTCTGACATTTCCTACCTAAAGATAACCTCTAGGCCTCAGTTATATTTAGCTCCATGCCCAGTAAAGCAGCAAAACCAGGCAGGTGACTCTAGGATCAGCTACAATGACTAATGACCCCCTGCCCTGGTGCCGGCCAATCAGTAGAGACCACGACCCTGAAAGGATAGACCTAGAAAAGCTGATGAGTATTCAATTGAGATCCTCCCCTAAAACTTCTAAACTTCCACCTTTAAAATCCTCAAAACAATGGTCCCAGCTTTTCCCTTCCCCACAGGCATGCATCTCCTAAACTCTAAGGGTTCCCACGAGACTTGCAACCAGAGAAGCAATGGGCAGTGGCAGCTCCTCCTGGTCTAACCCCCTGAACCTACCTCGGAGACCCCTTTTTTTCTGACTCTCCCAGGAGCTGACAGCAGACCAGACCCACCTTGCCTCACTTCTTTCCTATAATGTTTCTAGAGAGCCAACGCCACCCCACCTAGTCTCCTGTTGCTTCTCCTACCCAAAGCCCTTCCTTGTTTTACTATCCCCAGCTTTAATAATCATACTCTTAAAATCACCTGGACTCAGAATAATCAACAGAAGACTGGCTGCAGAGAACCCTGATAACTGAGGACATAGAGACTGCATAGAGCAGTGGTTCTCAACCTGTGGGCCGTGACCCCTTTGGGGGGTCGAACGACCCTTTCACAGGGGTCACCTAAGACCATCAGAAAACACATATAATTACATATTGTTTTTATGATTTAATCACTCTAATTATGTTCAATTTATAACAATGAAAATACATCCTGCATATCAGATATTTACATTACCATTCATAACAGTAGCAAAATTAGTTATGAAGTAGCAACGAAATAATTTTATGGTTGGGGGTCACCACAACATGAGGAACTATATTAAAGGGTCGCAGCATTAGGAAGGTTGAGAACCACTGGCATAGAGACTGATAGGAGGGGCAGAAGTGCAAAATAGCAGGCCAGGCTCCCCAAAAACAGCAACTGAGGTTCCAGAGAAATATCTCAGCTATGGGGAGTTGCCACCAGGGAACTCTGGGGTCTAATCCCCAAGCTGGGCCCCCAGCAGAGAGCGCCAGAACTGAGAAGGTTACCCACATAACATCTGGCTGTGAAAAGTAGTAGGGTTGATGTCTGACGGGGAGAGAGGACTGGAAATTCAGGCACCCTCTGAAAGGACCAATACAAAAAATTCCCCGTGAAGCCACTCACCTTGTGCTCTGGAGCTGTGCGAGCAGAAACCAGGGTCTTGGGCTCTGAGGTTAGTGCTCAGAAGGCAGACTCCACAGTTTCCTGTGCTGAGTCATTCCTTCGTGCTATGGAGGTTATCTTTCTCATGCAGACATTTGCTAGACAGGCAGCTTTGCCTGAGGGGAAGAAAGTTGACCCACCCTATTTGAAAACACCTTGCCCTATGGTGCGGAGTTTCTGAGGCCCAGTAAGCGACTGAGAATAACAATAGGTTCCAGGCAGAAGCAATTGCCCCACCTGTTGAAAAAAAACTCATGCCACACCTGTGGATGATTACCTAAAGGTAATTGAAGACAGAATCATTTCAGTCTGTAGGTAGAGGAGGTCTCTGGAGGCTTTGAGTCTTTGCCTGATCTAATTAATTTGACACTGCCCTGCACTAGAAATTGAGAGGTGTAGCAGATCTACCTAATACAGAGTCACAAACTCAAAGAAACAACCCCCAAATGAAATAACAATTCTCCAGAAAAAGAGATAAATGAAGAAATTTAGATGATTTAGAGTTCAGAATAATGATGGTAAAGAATGGCATAGTACAAATAATAATGAGCACATTGGAAGGAATACACAGCAGAATAGGAAAGCTGAGGATCAAATCAGTGAATTAGAAGACAGGATTGAAAAATATCACTCAATCGAAGAAACAAAAAAAAAAAACAAAAAATGGCAGAAAACTTCCCTAACCTGGTAAAGGAAAAAGTCACACAAGTTCAGGAGGCACAAGCAAGAACTGAAACAGGACCATACCCAGACACATCATAATTAAAATGCCAAATATTAAAGACAAGAGAAACCAAGATGGTGGCATAGGTAAACGCCTGAAATTGCTGCCTCACACAACCACTTCAAAACTACAACTAAAAGACAAAACGGTCATCATCCAGAACCACAGGAAGGCTGGCTGAGTGGAAATTCTACAACTAGAAGGAAAGAGAAAAGCACACTGAGACTCAGAGGAGGTGCGGAAGTAAAGTACAGAGGTATGGAGGTGCACTCAGAAAGGGCTGGCAACTGAGGACATGGTTGTCTTTTCAATCAGGAGGGAGACACAAGCTCTGACTGCTCTGAACTCCAGATCTGGGCGAGTCTCTGGGGACCCAGACTCATCCAGGGAGAAACTGAACTGTCTGGCATCTGGCAAAACTAGAGGGCCGCTTTCTCTCAGAGGTGCTTGCAGCGATTACCCGGACACTGAGACTCGTGGCCTCTTAGGGCAGGGCTGAGGATCAGCCATAGCTGCTTGCTCCACCCTGTTGATTCCCTGAGACCCCGCCCCACCCAAGCTGTGTGCAGAGGCTTTTGCATATGAATGGCCTGGCCCTTTGCAATCTAAAATTGCCTAACAAACTGCAGCTGGGTCAGAGAAACCCAGAACATCCAAAAGAAGGCCCAACGCCCCACAGCAGCTTGCATTGCTTCACAGCTGGGCCTCATCTGGGCACCTCCAAACCCCAAACAAAGAAGAGGAATCTTCAGATCTCTCCATAGCTCCTGCTGGGTAGCCTCAGGCAGAGGCTAAATTAGAACCTCCTTAGAAATCCAAGAGCCAGTGTACCCAGTGGTCAGAGTGAGACCATCCAGATTACAACTCCTCAGATCCATAAGGGACACACTCAGTGAGCACCAAAGCCCCACTGAAGCAAGTCCTGCCCCATAAGAGTGTTTCCAGTTCTCCCATTGTAGACAAAACTGATCCTCACAGCCAATTGGCCTGGAGGTCAATTCCTCCCACTGATACCTAGAACAATCAAGGCTTAACTACAAGACTGTGCACAAAGCCCACAAAGGGGTGCACCAAGAGTGTCCACCTCAGGTAATTGGGGAGGCTGAGCCACTGGGCCCTATAGGACACCTAGCACACAAAGCCACTCTACCAACACAGGGAAGCAGCCAAAATGCAGAGATCAACCAAATAACTTGTATGCATATGTGCATAACTCATTCCACAAATGATAGAAATGGAGGAAAGCAAACTACTGGATATAGAGTTCAAAACCACGGTTATAAGGTTTTTCAAGAATTTTTTAGAAACTGCCAATAAATTTAGTGAGACCCTCAAGGATATGAACAAGGACCAACTAGAAATTAAGCATACACTGACTGAAATAAAGAATATTATACAGAGATCCAACAGCAGACTAAAGGATCGCAAGAATCAAGTCAAAGATTTGAAATACAAAGAAGCAAAAAACACCCAACCGGAAAAACATGAAGATAGTGTAAGGAGCCTCTGGGACAACTTCAAATGTACCAACATTCGAATTATAGGGGTGCCAGAGAAGAGAGAAAGATATTGAAAACTTATTTGAAGAAATAATGACAGAAAACTTCCTAAAAGTCTAATCAAAGTGTAATATGCTAATAATATGCTAAGGCTGCTCAACTGCTCACTATGACCTGCAATGACCACCAGGGGACAGACACTCTGACCAGTAGGTTAGCTTGCTGCTGGGGTCCAGCTGATCAGGACTGAGCCAGACAGGCCAGACACACCCTTGGAGCCCTCCTGCAGTCCCTCCCTGGCTGGCCAACCTCCCACATCCCTCCCTGGCGCCAATCATGCACTGGTGGGGTACCTTGGCCTGGCCTCTCTCACAATCTGGGACCCCTTGGGGGATGTCAAAAAGCCGGTTTTGTTCCAACAGCAGAATGGCCAGTCGCTATAACACACACTGACCACAAGGGGGCAGACACTCAATGCCAGAACTGCCCCAAGTGGTCAGTGTGCTCCCACAGGGGGAGCAACTCTCAGGCAGGTACCTCTCCCACCTCCACAGCAGCGCTAAGGATGTCCAACTGACGGCTTAGGCCCACTCCCAGTTGGACATCCCCCAAGGGCTCCTGGGCTGCAAGAGGGTGCAGGCTGGGCTGAGGGGACACCCCCCCCCCAAGTGCATGAATTTTGTGCACAGGGTCTCTAGAGCAGA